AAAAGTACCAAATAGTCCCCTTTTATAGATTCTCATTTACTAAGGGCTCTACATGCTTAATTTTATGTTTCTAGGTTAAATTTTATAGAAAACTCAAAAAGTACCAGTCGAAGGACGAAAAAGTACCAAAAAGTCCCCTTTTATAGATTCTCATTAACTAAGGCCTCCGCATGCTTAATTTCATGTTTCTAGGTTAAATTTTATAGAAAACTCAAAAAGTACCAGTCGAAGGACGAAAAAGTACCAAAAAGTCCCCTTTTATAGATTCTCATTTACTCCGGGCTCTACATGCTTAATTTCATGTTTCTAGGTTAAATTTTATAGAAAACTCAAAAAGTACCAGTCGAAGGACGAAAAAGTACCAAAAAGTCCCCTTTTATAGATTCTCATTTACTCCGGTCTCTACATGTTTAATTTCATGTTTCTAGGTTCAATATTATAGAAAATTCAAAAAGTACCTTTTGAAGAACGAAAAAGTACCAAAAAGTCCCATTTTATAGATTCTCATTTACTCCGAGCTCTACATGCTTAATTTCATGTTTCTAGGTTTAATTTTAAAGAAAACTCAAAAAAGTACCTGTGTAGAACGAAAAAGTAGCGAAAAGTCCCTTTATTATTAATTTCATGTTTCTATTTCAATATCATAGAAAACTCAAAAAGGACCAGTTGGAGAATGAAAAGTACCAAAAAATATCACTTGATACCGGGGTTCCAAATAACACCCCATTAGGATATTTAGTGTTTCTAAATTTAAAAATTTTATCGAAATTGGATCATTGTGGTTGAATAAAATCAAATTTCCCGTTTTTACCCCTTTTGGTACTTTTTTCTTCCCCATTAACGAAATAAAAATTCTATTCCAAAAATTTGCAACATCGTAGTGGGAGCTCGTTTTTATACCCTCCACCACCATCAGTGGTGATAGAGGGTATATATAACTTTGTCATTCCGTGTGTAACACCAAGAAATATTCATCTGAGACCCAACAAAGTATATATATTCTGGGTCCTTATGAAATTCTGAGTCGATTTACCTATGTCCGTCTGTCCGTCCGTCCGTCCGTCCGTCCGTCTGTCTGTCTGTCTGTGTAAAACACGCTCACGTTAAAACGAAGCAATATAATTTAACCAAATTCACCCAAAACATTCATTATTATCCGGTACAGTTTGGTATTGAAAATGAGCAAAATCGGTTCACATTGGGAAAAGTTATGTATCAAAATTTAAAACAACCTCGAAAAAAATAAGCATTTTTTACACATTCTGATGTAATTTTCTCGAAAACTATGCAAGATAATTTCATGAAAGTCATCATACGTTCGTTTCTACACAAGATATTTATTTCTGCTGAAAATTGCCAGCATCGGTCCATAATTTCATATACCTCCCATACAAAAGTGCATATTCCCGGAAAATGAGTTTTTTTGTTAATAACTTTCGTCAGAATGTCGATATCTGCACAAAATTTTACAAATTAAAATCTTATGTTAATAGAATTCATTGAGAGAAAAAATTTTCTGGATCGGTCCATAATTGGACATAGCTCCCATACAAGGTCCCCTCCCGAAAATCACTTAAACGCGCATAACTCATTACTAAATTAAGATATCCATATAAAATTTGAAATAAGTATTGCTCATATGCACAGAAATATTACTGTGAAAGTTTTTTCCGATCGGTCCATAATTGGTCATAGCTCCCATACAAGGACCCTTCCCGAAAATCACTTAAACGTGCATAACTCATTACTGAATTAAGATATCCACATAAAATTTGGAATAAGTATTACTCATATACACAGAAATATTACTGTGAAATTTTTTTTCCGATCGGTCCATAATTGATCATAGCTCCCATACAAGGTCCCCTCCCGAAAATCACTTAAACGCACATAACTCATTACTAAATCAAGATATCCATATAAAATTTGGTACAAGTATTGCTCACATATACAGAAACATTACTATGAAATTTTTTTCCGATCGGTCCATAATTGGTCATAGCTCCCATACGAGGTCCCCTCCCGAAAATCACTTAAACACACATAACTCATTACTAAATTAAGATATCCATATAAAATTTGGAATAAGTATTACTCATATGCACAGAAATATTACTTGGAAATTTTTTTCCGATCGGTCCATAATTGGTCATAGCTCCCATACAAGGTCCCTTCCCGAAAATCACTTAAACACACATAACTCATTACTAAATTAAAATATCCATATAAAATTTGGTACATGTTTTGCTCTCACATATATAAATATTACTATGAAATTTTTTTCCGATCGGTCCATAATTGGTCATAGCTCCGTACAAGGTCCTTTTACGAAAATCTCTTAAACTCACATTACTCATTACCAAATAAAGCTATTGATACACAATTTGGCACAAATATTAGTTTTGTATACAAAAATTATATTTCAAGATTTTTTCACGATCGGTTCATAACATGGGTGCGGTCGGTCCTATACATGTTTCCCTTCAGAAAATAACATAAATACTCATAACTTATTACAAAATTAAATAAATCTTGGGATTTTTTCTATTTAAGACATGAGAAAACTTATTTCTACAAATATTTGATCAATTAGAAAAGTATTAATATGTAAGTAGCTGGTGGAGGTTATCTAAGATTCGGCTTAGCCGAATATAGCACTCTAACTTGTTATGTATTCATATGTATAAGTTAATAAACCAAAAACAATGTTTTATGAAAAAAGTACCAAAAATAGGTACAATTTTAACCCCTTAAATGTCCGAATATCCAAAAAGTACAAAATTCATATTTTTATTTTTTCGTTAAGTTATGAAGGAGTCAAAAATATTTTTTGAATGAGCACTGGTTTAAAAGAAACATGGGGTGCGAAAAAAGTACCAAAATACAGTTTTTACCCGTTTATTCCCTAAAGGGGCCGAATTTTAAAAAAGTACCAGACACCTGTCCGTTTATTTTTTAAATGAACGGCGAGAAGCTTTAAACTGTTTTTGTATCTTTTCTAGTTTAGGAGATATAAGGTTACCGAATTTACCCGTTTTTACCCTTTTTTACCCCCTAAACATTCGTATTTCCAAAAATCCCGTCTTAGTGGATCTATTTGGCGGGAGACCAACCTCCTGTCCAAATTTCAGCTCTTTAGCTTCAACCGTTTAGGCTGTGCGATGATGAATCAGTCAGTGAATCAGTCAGTCAGTCAGTAACGTTAGAATTTTATATATATAGATTAATAAATATTAGGATGGCAAATGCAATCGGTACAAGAAAATTTTTTTAATTTTAATTATAATCACTTATTAAATCGAAAATATAATTTTCTAAGATTTTAAGACATATAATTGATACATTAATCTTGTGACGTTTATAGTAGGACGAAATAGGTTTTGTTTAAACCTCATTTATAGCCTCATGTACCATAATCACTAATATTAATACTGAGAATTCTCTAGAGTAAGACCCATGGATCGTTAAAGCACCCCGGGGATGTTACCGTGATTAACTTCAAATGTATCTTCAGTTTTCCATAGAATTTTGGAAACAGAGAGACATATAATCTGATACCAGGTGTACCCGTAGCCCACAGAATAGCGTTTATTCCTAAATGTATCGCATGAATGAAAGGAGTGCTTCTTTGTCCAGGTATATTCAGGGTTGTTTCTGTTCTTACATTGTGTTCTCTGTAAACAAGCACATGTCATTAACTGAACTAGAATTAAACTAGAACGGAACTAGAACTGAACTAGAACTGAACTAGAACTGAACTAGAACTGAACTAGAACTGAACTAGAACTGAACTAGAACTGAACTAGAACTGAACTAGAACTGAACTAGAACTGAACTAGAACTGAACTAGAACTGAACTAGAACTGAACTAGAACTGAACTAGAACTGAACTAGAACTGAACTAGAACTGAACTAGAACTGAACTAGAACTGAACTAGAACTGAACTAGAACTGAACTAGAACTGAACTAGAACTGAACTAGAACTGAACTAGAACTGAACTAGAACTAGAACTGAACTAGAACTGAACTAGAACTGAACTAGAACTGAACTAGAACTGAACTAGAACTGAACTAGAACTGAACTAGAACTGAACTAGAACTGAACTAGAACTGAACTAGAACTGAACTAGAACTGAACTAGAACTGAACTAGAACTGAACTAGAACTGAACTAGAACTGAACTAGAACTGAACTAGAACTGAACTAGAACTGAACTAGAACTGAACTAGAACTGAACTAGAACTGAACTAGAACTGAACTAGAACTGAACTAGAACTGAACTAGAACTGAACTAGAACTGAACTAGAACTGAACTAGAACTGAACTAGAACTGAACTAGAACTGAACTAGAACTGAACTAGAACTGAACTAGAACTAGAACTGAACTAGAACTTAACTAGATCTGAACTGGAACTGAACTAGAACTGAACTAGAACTTGTTCTTGCATTTAATTTTTTTACAAATAGTAAACTTCAAGTTATATTTAAAGCTTTTTTGTTTGTTTCTGCCAAAAAAAAAACTATGTCACCCTAATAACCAATATATGAAGTTTAACATGATTCCGAATAAAAGAAAACAAAACCTACACAATATAACCATATGAACAAACAACATGTGGGTTTCACTACGTATGATGATTTTCTAATAGAAAACTACCACCCACAGAGTTTTTTTGCGTTTAATGCTCTGGTAGAATCTTAATTTTTTTTTTGCTTTCATCTACTTCAATAATAAATTTAATCTTGATTTTTTTCCTCACAAGTTTTTTGTTTATTATAAATTTGTTTTACTGAAAATCTTTTCCAACAAAAAACACACACAAAAAACCGTAAACTGTAAGAAAGTATGAGTAGAGAGTAAAAAGTTGAGAAAAAAAAAGAACGAAGAAATTCTTATAATAACTTTAATCAATATTTATTGGTCAATTGTGAAAAAAAAAACATAAAAATTGTTTCCAAAAATATGAAAAAAATTGTAAGAAAAGCTTGTTCTACTTACAGTGTTTGCTCTTTTCAGCTGCCACTTGATGCGGTGTTTGTGCCAAAATGTTAAAAAGCATTAGAAACATTAAAATCCATTTTATAGAAGTTTTAGTAGTTGCTGATGTTATTGTTGTTGTTGTAAAGTTACAATAAAACTTATTCAAGTTGTTGGCAACATTTGCTACGGCTACTGTTGCTACAGTTATTGGTTGTGATAATGTTGTAGTTGCTGTTGGTTTAGCATCAGTACGAGTATGTCGAGTACTGGAACAAATTGTTGTTGAGTAGTTGTTGCTGGTGGTGCTGTTGTTGTTAGTAGTAGTAGGAGTAACAAATTTTGTTGTTGCAGCTAAAATTGAGGTTTGAGCAGCATGAGCACAATTGTTTGAATCTGCTGCTCTGCTAAAAGTAGAGTTTTGGTTTAGTTCAGCAATAGTTGTTTTAGCTGTTGTTGTTGTATTTGTTATTGCTGTAGTTTTATTTAAATATAATTTCATGTTTTTTAAATGGCAGTTACTGTTGTTGTTGTTCGTGTTGAATTTTATAGTTTGTGTTTGTTGTCGCTCATTGCTTTTCATTCTTATTTCATAATCATTGTCATCATCATTAACATGGCTGCCAACATAAACATAATCATTATCATACTCGCCAATCACTACACATTTCTCTCTACTTTGATAGTTTTCATTTCCACTTCCATTTTTATTATTATCATTTTCTTTTTGATATTTTTTTACCACCACCACTTCTTGGTCTTGTTTTAGCTGTTCGTTTTTACGTTTCAGCTTCATTTCGTTTTTATTATTTTTATTGTTATTAAATTCAAATGTTTTATCCGGTGGCCCTGGGCCACATGATGTTGGTTGTAACATGTTTTAAGTTTTTCTTCGTCTTCTCTATCTTGTTATTGCCTTGTCCTTGTTTGTATTCTTCTTCTACAGCTGCCTGCTTTAGCTACTGCTGCAGTTTGAGTTTTTTCCCTCACTTAGTTTTTATGCTTTGATGTTTTGTTGTTTTTTTTTATTATCGCTTCTCTTTTTTGTTTGTAGGTTTCTATTCATTGTTTAGCAATTAACCATGTTTTTCGTTTAGTTTAGTTTTCCTAAAAAGTATAAACGAGTTGGAGAAGAGAGAAAACTTCTTTTTAATATTAAATTTTATTTTAGAAAATTTGTTTCTTATAAAGAATATTAAATATTTGTTTTTTTTTTTTTATAGCTGCTGCAAATAGTAGTACAACAAAAAGCAATTAGATAAAATTAAAAAAATGTTATTGCAAAAAATTACTCAGGCGTATGAGTGATATTTAATTTTGAATTTTAGTTTTTTTGTTGATTACTCATACGCCTACAGTTTTTATATTGTATGCCTTATATCACAGTGAGACAGAATTGAAATTTGTGCTTTTTATAGATTTTCATTCACCCTAATTGTTTGTAGGTTCAATATTATAGAAAATTCAAAAATTAGGAATGGAAAAGGTATACAAAACATCTCCCCCGCAGATTCTTATTTAATAAAAGTTTCTTAAGAAAAACTAGGTTTTAGATTTATAACAAACTATTTATAATTTCATACTATATAGGCTTTTGTTGCAACTAAATTAAAAACCTGAGGAAAATTGAGGAACTACAACTTGATCCACTAATAGGAAAAAGTATGACAGAATTGTGCAGGATTTGTAAGCCAAAAAGGACGTGATTGAGGGGCAATTACAGGCACTAAAGGCTCTCCTCCGCCGTCAACTTTCTTGCAACCTAACAACAGCTCTCCAGCAAGGATTTTGCAAAATGCAAAGCACGGGCCATGTCCAAAAACAACCGTGACAATTCGAAAGCCGCCGCCACAGTCTGTTTCAGTCTTTTATAGATTTTTTAAGACAAATGCATAAAATCAACTATGGCTGATAGAGCTTTCTTGGGAATAAAGAACGGTTGTTACAGCTATCGCTGAAATAACAATCTCTAGCCGAGCAGGACGAAGAGAGGATCTAATTGAAGTGGGAACGGCTCAAATTACCACATGGTGGTGTCCCTTCTCACTTACTATTGAATTCCTATCTTCCTAAATGCTCTGTCCTTCCATATAGATTTTGCGACGGCCTGTTAGTTAGTTAGTTAGTTAGTTAGTTAGTTAGTTAGTTAGTTAGTTAGTTAGTTAGTTAGTTAGTTAGTTAGTTAGTTAGTTAATTAGTTAGTTAGTTAGTTAGTTAGTTAGTTAGTTAGTTAGTTAGTTAGTTAGTTAGTTAGTTAGTTAGTTAGTTAGTTAGTTAGTTAGTTAGTTAGTAGTAGTTAGTTAGTTAGTTAGTTAGTTAGTTAGTTAGTTAGTTAGTTAGTTAGTTAGTTAGTTAGTTAGTTAGTTAGTTAGTTAGTTAGTTAGTTAGTTAGTTAGTTAGTTAGTTAGTTAGTTAGTTAGTTAGTTAGTTAGTTAGTTAGTTAGTTAGTTAGTTAGTTAGTTAGTTAGTTAGTTAGTTAGTTAGTTAGTTAGTTAGTTAGTTAGTAGTTAGTTAGTTAGTTAGTTAGTTAGTTAGTTAGTTAGTTAGTTAGTTAGTTAGTTAGTTAGTTAGTTAGTTAGTTAGTTAGTTAGTAGTTAGTTAGTTAGTTAGTTATGTGATTTCTTGCGTGTTTTAACTCATACAACCGTATTCTCCGCTTAGTATTCGCAGTTAGTACTTCTTCTTTGGTCGAATTTTGTAATGGAACTACCATTTTATTGATTTTCTGAACCAATCTCTTGCTATCCTACTGTTCATTAAAATGACTTATAGACAAATCAATAGATTTTACCAGGGATAATTGAAAATCTCTGGTATTTCTTTCCACATTCAAAAAGGAAACAGAAAAAAAGTTCGATAAAACTTAAACTAAAACGACACAAACTTGTTGATGTTTACAAAAATCTAATGAAAAATCAATTAAAATCCAAGCAATTTTCTTTGCTGCATCTACATATTTCACCTTTTTGTTGTTGTAGCTGTAGTTTTTAAAAAATCGAACACACAAATACTATAAACATCCAAACGTATGAACAGCAATTGAAGTCAATTGAAGTTGGTGTTGCTGAAATATTAAATGAGGAAATGCGATAGACAAACTAAAATTTCAATATAATTGATTTTCATTTTCAATTTTAGGTTTTTTTATATTTTTTTTTTCTAATTTCCAAAAATGTTTCCCAAATAAACGAGTATAAAGACATAATGTTCACGTCGTTTATGGGTGTTTTGGCAAATGTTGTTTTTTTTTTTTCTAAAGATTAATGTTTTAAGGTTTAAATGAGCCAGTAAATGGGTGAAATATTTATTTATAGAGAAATACAACAAAGTCGAAATAAATGAATGATTATTTTTGGCAAACGGCAAAGATGCTCATACATACACACACATACTTATAGACAGTTGTCTATAGATGACTAATGAGACATTTGAAAGGAAATTGAAAATTTGTGGAAAAAACTATGTCTAAGGAAATAAAGAATTTGAAATTTTTGTTGAGATTGATATTGAATTTGTTTTAAATTTTTTGTTTTATAAAAAATTTAAAGAAAGTAATATTTATATAACTAAGAAAAATATAAATCTGCTAGATTTTCTTAAAGAAGGGAATAAATTATGATAATAATAATGTTGTCATATTCCTTGTGGAATATGTGGAAAACAAAACAAACACTACGTCCAGGATGACAGTCCAGTGAGAGTACATAGGCTACAAAAACAAAAGAGATTGAAATGATATTAGAAGATTCTAAACAAAGTTCTCGAATTTTTAACTTCTCGTATGAACATTTCACTCAAATAAACTTACGAACTTTCAAAATGTTTGCAGGGATATTAAATGAAGAAAAAATCCACAGAAAAATGTTTAAACAAACACATCTAGCCTTAGGCTAGATAATTGCTAAATCATGCTTGTCACTGTCTAATTTGATTTTATTAGACTACAGTAAATTTATTCTACAAAGTGTCTAACGACCAGCATGATATAGAAAACCCATTAATTAACCTTGCCTTGATAGCAGCAAAACTGCACAAAAATACCCAGAAAAAATACACGACTAATTAAATAAAAAAATATATAAATACAATAAAACTGAATTAAAACTGAAGTAGAACTAAAATAGAAAAGAATAAGAACAGAACTAGAAGGGAACTAGAACAGAAGTAGAACAGAACTAGAACAGAACAAGAACAGAACTAGAAAAGAACTAGAACAGAACTAGAACAGAACTAGAACAGAACTAGAACAGAACTAGAACAGAACTAGAACAGAACTAGAACAGAACTAGAAAAGAACTAGAACAGAACTAGAACAGAACTAGAACAGAACTAGAACAGAACTAGAACAGAACTAGAACAGAACTAGAACAGAACTAGAACAGAACTAGAACAGAACTAGAACAGAACTAGAACAGAACTAGAACAGAACTAGAACAGAAGTAGAACAGAACTAGAACAGAACTAGAACAGAACTAGAACAGAACTAGAACAGAACTAGAACAGAACTAGAACAGAACTAGAACAGAACTAGAACAGAACTAGAACAGAACTAGAACAGAACTAGAACAGAACTAGAACAGAACTAGAACAGAACTAGAACAGAACTAGAACAGAACTAGAACAGAACTAGAACAGAACTAGAACAGAACTAGAACAGAACTAGAACAGAACTAGAACAGAACTAGAACAGAACTAGAACAGAACTAGAACAGAACTAGAACAGAACTAGAACAGAACTAGAACAGAACTAGAACAGAACTAGAACAGAACTAGAACAGAACTAGAACAGAACTAGAACAGAACTAGAACAGAACAATAGAACTAAAACAGAACTAGAACTGAACTTATGTCTATATGAATAGGGACAGACATACTTATGTATGTACATATGTAGGTGCAACATGATAGCTGCAATGTACACTAGGTATATGAATGTACACAATTTTTAATATTCTACTCTTCCAGTTTCTACATTAATTTCGTTTCTCTGTGTTGTTTTCATTATTGGCTTGTTTATCAGCTATTTTTTGCATTTATTTTTATACATTTCCTGATTTGACCGGGAGCAACAACAGCAGCAGGTAAACCTATGATCTGTTATATATTTAAAGTGAGATTATTATGCTGCAAGAGTTCACATACGTAATTGTAATGTTATTTACTTAATTAACACGCAAATACTTATTTTCGCAAATAAAATGTTCAGAGAATATTAATATTTTGCGCATTGATAAATTTGCAAACAGGTATAAATAGGCACTTTCTCAGTTTAATAATGCGTATGAGAAATAAATAATCACTCATACGTTCAGTAACTGTAATATGTTTTATACGTTTTTCACTCGTATATACTTAACTTGTTGAAATGAACTAAAAATGAAATATTTAGCAGATAAAGCCACTTTATTTAAATGAAATTCATATACATTTTTAAGCTACTTAACTATTTTTCATCCCATAAAAGTTAAAAAGTCTTAATTCCCTTTGGCCAATTTCTTAATCATTTAACTAATAAATTTACCTCTATAAATAAAACACTACGGTAAAGGTATTTATAGTTTTGGCCAACAAAAATCATGGCATATAATCTATGGTTTAGGATGTTGCTTTATAGAACTCCTCCTCCAAAATACAAAAGTTAGAGATTGTGTGCATTTTCCGTAAAAGTCTAGTGATATATTTACTCTTTTCGCCATTTATATTCACCAACTATTATATCACCGAAAGCCAAATTTCAATTAAAATTAACTACAAAACAATAAAATAGAAACCTGCCAACAAATGCTAATACTATTCTACGGAAATGTATGGCAAGTTGGAAAAATAAAAGAACAACAACAACTAAAGCAACAACAGGAAAACGGCAACAACGCACAGCGAAAAGAGCGAGGAAGGAAGAGAGGGAAGCGAGGGAAAAGGGGGACAGGGGAGGGGAGGGAAAGAGGGGCAAGGGGGCAGCGAAGAGGGAAAGGGGCAAGGGAACGAAGGAACGAAACGAACGAACGAAGAACGAACGAACGAACGAACGAACGAACGAACGAACGAACGAACGAACGAACGAACGAAGAAAACGAACGAACGAACGAACGAACGAACGAAGAACGAAACGAACGAACGAACGAACGAACGAAACGAACGAACGAACGAAACGAACGAAAGAACGAAACGAACGAACGAAACGAACGAACGACGAACGAACTAACGAAAACGAACGAACGAACGAAACGAACGAACGAAAACGAACGAAAGAACGAACGAACGAACTAACGAACGAACGAACGAACGAACGAACGAAAAAACGAACGAAACGAACAAACGAACGAACGAACTAACGAACGAACGAAACGAACGAACGAACGAACGAAAACGAACTAAGAACTAACTAACTAACGAACTAACTAACTAACAAAAAACTAACTAACTAACTAACTAACTAACTAACTAACTAACGAACAACTAACTAACTAACTAACTAACTAACTAACGAACTAACTAACTAACGAACTAACTAACTAACTAACTAACTAACTAACTAACTAAGAACTAAAACTAACTAACTAACTAACTAACGAACTATAACTAACAACTAACTAACTAAATAACTAATAACTAACTAACTAACTAACTAACAACTAACTAACTACTAACTAACTAACTAACTAAAACTAACTAACTAACTAACTAACTAACTAACTAACTAACTAACTAAACTAACTAACTAACTAACTAACTAACTAACTAACTAAGTAACTATTGCCAAAGCTACAGAAATCTCCTTTAGTGAGTCTTTAGACGACTTTAGTGTTATGGGGGCATCAGGTCGACCCCTTGTTGATTCAACTTTTGATTGCTTTCACCATTGGCGGATTATCATTGGGTTTTATTCAATACTCAAGTGCTAGCTCGTGATTCGAAAAATTGCCATCTGAGTGTTCCTCTTGAAGGCCAATCTTTGGTTACAAAAGACTACCGTGAGTTTGGGACATTATATAAACTACATATGATAAGCATTTGGTCTACTTTTTTTTTTTTTGCAAATTCTGTTAACTGCTGCTTAACGAATCCTACCTTTTTGGTTGTATGTTGGGTTTAACATACAGGCATATTGTTTAAAATGACGAGTTATTGATTCAAATTAAGTATTTGGGAATGTTTCAAAACTGTAGTGTTTTTTTTTTTTTTAAATTTTATATAAATCATACCTTTTGATAAGCTCCATTACATGGCTTCAATATCTGATCTGAAATTCACATATAGAAAATTTGTAGTTAGTTAAGTTTAAGATAAATAAACGAAATTGTAAATAATTCAGAATATTTATAAAGAAAGCCTTATTTACTATAATATCTTAAGAAACTGTTAGTTGAGAAGTTTGGCAATTTGTTATAAAACGGTTCATAGTCCTATCCTAACTATGGTTTCACCTTAGGGAAGGGAGATTTGAATATGTTGGAAATTTGTATTACTGACGAATTAGAATTGACTAAGAGGGTATATTCCGAAAGATATACACTGATTCAAGTGCTTCATTGTCCTCTCCTAACTATGGTTTCACCTTAGGGAAGGGAGAGTTGAATATGCTGGGAATCTTGTATTACTGGCGAATTAGAATTTACTAAGAGGGTATATTCCGAAAGATATACTCTGATTCAAATACAATCAGGTCTTTCTGGAGCTAGTGGGTTATAAAACTTAACTTCACTGCATCTATTCGAATGTCGCGCAATAAAACTTCATACAAAGTTGCAATTGTATTGTATTGTTGTGTGTATGGATGTGTTCATTTTATTTTATACTCCATGTTGGATGGCAATTTAATATTGGCTTTCGCCAACAACAACAACACAACGATAACAACAATAAAATGAAAAATTACAACAACACAATCTAACAACACAAACTAACTACTAAAATAATAAATTTTAAAAACCTCGACTACTTCATACTACTATAGAGTACTTTACTTCGTTTAGTTTCTAGTTTTATTTTTCTATTTTTTTTTTCTCATGTTTTTCAAATCATACTTTTAGTTAAAATGGACAACTGCAAAATGGAGCAAATAAAATAAAAATTAAAAAATATATATAAAAAACACTTCATGTTAAAAAAAATACAAAAAAATAAATAAAAAATTAAATAAGAAAAATAATATAAAATAAAAAACTTTAACAAAAAACAACAACAAATATATATAAACTAATCGGCTTAACGTAAGCTTAATTTTGCTTTCTGGTAAAAGAAGAAAAAAAAATCCAACTAGAAAATGTACGTTAAATTTTTATTTAAAAGATAAAGACCAACCAGAGTTACTTATAAATCTCTACAAGATGAACAAAATACTGCTCTACAAATGAAATATTATAAAATAGACATAAAATAAGATTAGAAGAAAATCGTTTTGTTGTTTTATACGTCTTTATTGTTGCTTTCCTTTTCCTTTTTATTCGGGTTTTAAATGGAAAAAGAAAATTGTTGATTTAAAACTAAATAAAAAGTGTTTAATACCTGACGCGTTTTAAGCTTTTTGTTTGAAAGAGATGGAATGAAAGAAAGAAACAATAATAAGTAATTTAAGAAAAATGACAAGATTTTTATTTCTATAGCAATGGTGAAAGATTGACACTAAGTAAGTAATATTTTTTTCGTTTCTAAGATAATGATTGAAATCATTATCTAAAGGCAGAAGAAATCTGTTACCTTTATTAGTTCTGATCGAGAAAAAAATGTTAGTTATAAGATTTTAAACTTTCACCATTCATATTTCACTGTTTGCCTAATCACATAACTAACTACCAGATGGACAGCATGTGAAGAAAATAATGAAACTATGGAATACTTTCTACCAAGCTTTCGTTGTTATTCCAGTTATTACATCCCTGATTATTACTGATTAGAAAATTCTAAGGAACTCCGTCCAAGAATCGGAGTTTCTGAACATTCTTTGTCTATCAAAGTTTTTTCCACCAACAACGCACAACAGGAGTGATGGAGGTCTAGGTGTATTTTTTCGGATCTGATGTAAATATTCTGACACTTTCCCTTAACAGCTTAGTTCTTAAGAAAGCTTATCGAATTTTAATCCAGCGCCAAGAGAGTTACTTTCAGTTTCCGTTCAACAAGTAGCTTGAGTTCCGATTTTTCCCACCTATTTGACGATCGTGTTAAATATACCTTAACTAGGGCAATACCTCAAATAGGAGCTCAATTGTTTCTGCAATCCATATCGATAGCTTAAAATTATACCTGGAAAAGTGTTTCATCTTATGGAGACCACGAGAAGATGGGCCTTAGATTCGTGCTTCCTGCTTGTAGGAAAGACTCTTTTCGAAAGAGCCAAGACCGATGTGATAGTATTTCAGTGCTACCAACTCTCTAAATGCAAGGGCCATGTTAAATACGTCAACCGCGGCAATATGCTTTTCTGAAGTGTGAATAATGGTCAACGTCTTGACATTAGGAGTCTTTAGCCTTATAGAGACCACGAGACGAAGGATAAAACTCACGAGCGAGTAACCGTAGCAGTTTATGTATCGTCAAGACCGCACACCGTAATTGTGTCGCCTCGAATAGCTTTTGCAGATAAGTATTCTCCTGTTAGTATTCTAATTTCGAAAGCTCCTTTTGTTGCCTTAAATTCGTTCTATCTACTTTTAGGAAATATTCTTTCTGAAAAAGCCAAGACCAATGTGATAGTATTTCAGTGTTCCGAACTCTCTGAGGTCAAGAGCCGATTTAGCTGATACATATGATATAAGTGTCTAAAACAGGTACCGGTGATCGAAATTCGGGAATTGTATATTTTTTGGCTTCTGCTCTTAGATTACTTGTAGTTCACTGAAATTTGCCTATTAAAGGGTCAATACATAATCAGCAGCTAGGACTATCTTGGTGATCATATAACAGAGCTTAAGAAGGACTAAAGAACATCGTTGTAAGGCTGCATAACAGAGACGATATCACATCCCTGGTAGCGTTACGCCCGGGCATGTTTCCTTGATGGAAGACCCTCATCTTGGTGTATTGCAATTCCGGGGTAAAGAGTTGCTACCAGTACCTTTAGTCTGCCGGCACTATAAACTGGTGATGCCAAATCACTCCTCGGACTTTCTTTGGAATGATTTAACATGAGGTCTAACCAGAGAACCACATGATCTGGTACTAAGGGTGGCCAGTTGCACGCTGGACTTGTGGAAAGAGTATGTTGCGGTTAAAAGACTAATGCACGGTGAAATCTAAATTTCGTAATAAGTTCGGTGCTGTTGTATATGATACGGGATGAATGTAGGGGTATACGGAACTTATCCGCCCGTATACCTAGAGTGAGTCTATCGTATGTTGTTCTCTTATGCTTGAATGGTAATGGATGAAAGGTCAACTTTGAATTTACCTTGTCCAGGTATGCTCAGAGTAAACTCTATTCATATAAGATTTACCACAGTTTGTCACTGTGAGTGAAAACAATGTCTCGGCTTATTTGATGGATTCGCACTTCGGTCATGCAGAGCTGTTTCCAACGACCGTGTTTTTAAGAAATGCGAGTAGTGCCTTGCGGAAGTAAGTTGGAGTAAGGACATGGAAATCAATCAGAGTTTACAACAAAAATTATGACAGACTGGTTTTTCTCCCATTTCTCTTTACAGCATGGAGAGGAATTACCACTGTTAACTTTCTCCATACCTTGGCAATGTAGCCTAATCCATGGACACCTTTGACTATTCTAATAAATCTGATGATCTTTGGAAATTACTCCCCGTAAACATAATACTTAAGTAGTATTTTCAAAATCTCTGCAGAATTGATTCCAGGTTTATCTCTTCCATGAACTTATCAATGGGTTTGATTAATCCTGGTCTTTGAAAAGTTCCTTCAGTATTCTTCCATTGTTTTGATACTACTATCTGTATTGTTACCATCCGGTTTCATTAATAATCCTGGTCTTCAAAAAGTACTCTCCGTAAACGTAATGACTTTGTTCAATTTTTCAAATCTCAGCTGATTTGTTTCCAGGATTATCTTTTCCATGAACTTATCATAAGTTTCGATTAATCCAGGACTTCGAATAGTTCCTTAAGCATGTGTTCCTCTAGATTTCCTTATTAATTTCCGTATTGTTACCATCTAGTTTCCGAAATAATCCTGTACTCTCCGTAATGCCGATGCTGTAAATGCAAATATTTCCACAATTATCTTCTTTATGAAGTTATCATTCGATTTGATTAAGAATCCCGATCTTCGAAAAGCGCCTTTAACATGTGTTCTTCCATTGTTTCGTTACTACTTTCCCTTATGTTATCATCCGTTTTATTAAGAAAACTGTTGATTGGGAGATACCTTCCGTTGATGTGATGCTTCTGCTATATTTTCCAAATCTCTACAGAACTGATTCCATGATTATCTTTTCCATGAAGTTAACATTATTAGCGTGATGCCTCTATTATATATTCCATGAAGATTTGACAGTTGTCTTCTCAGCTTCCCGAAGTATTCAACTTTTTCGTTTTGTTGGGGAAAGCATCCATACTCTTACCGTCGCTCGATAAGGGATTTGGATTTTGGTTTTCCACTTGACATTTTTTAATAATATGATGGCAGTCATCGCAACTCCCCAAATTATTCAACGTTTTGACCATAAATTTCTTTAGAACATAACCTTTATTCTTGTCCTCCATCCAGTTTCATTAGGAATCCTGGTTTCCGAAAAGTTTATTCCAGTTCAACTCCCGAAATTATCCACCGTTTCATTGCAAAGTTTTATAGGTCACAACCTTCATTCTTGACCTACCAGGTCTAGTTGTTTGGCAGTATTTTCCGAGGAATTACCATTCATTATGAATCGTTTTCTTCAAAAAGTTCCTTTCATAAGCGTGATGCCTTTACTGAACTGTCCATGATTATATTTATAAACTACTAGTTTCCCATTTGAAAATGTGGAAGCGTTGACTGTAGTCGTCTCAGTTCCCCAAAGTATTCACTCGTTTCGCCTTGTTGAGGAACCATAATGTCACCATGACTAGAAAAGAAATCTAGATGATTTCAATCCTTTGACTTTTCCATGAATATAATTTTAATCTTCTGGTTTCCCACTTGAAAATGAAGTGTGGCACCTTTGGAGTTAGTTTTGCTTCGAAAATATCGAATTTTTTCTTTATTTTTTCAGATGGTTTGTGCGGGTTCAGAAGTGTTGATTCCGACACGGAAGTCAATGGTCGCCCTGGTCAGAAAAACAAGCTTGAAGACCAAGA